CACCACCGACGTTAACTTTGCGTTTACTTTCTTAACGCTTTGCAGAGTTGTTCAGTTATCAAGCGCATACGTTGGATTAATATTTAACTTTATTGCACTTGACATGCATATTATCTTGGAAAATGGTCTCAGAAAGGGCCTCGACATGAGTGTAAATAATAAATGACTCGGACTGGGACATCTCTGTCTAAAAGTCCAATAAGGGCTCAGTAGTCGGCAGTGTTGCCTCACAGCTGGAAGGTTTCGCGTTTGAATTCTCCGGCAGACTGAGAGCCTCCCACAGCCCAAACTCATGTAGGTTCAGTTAGCTGAATATTCTGAGTGGCTGCTGGGAATGAAATTGAGTGTGAATGGGTGTCTGTCCGTATGTGTCGGCTCGGTAAAAGCCTGGCAGCCTTGGCGGGGTGTTTCCCGCCTCTCCTCCGTCCTCCCTCCGACTGCCTCCCAGCAGCGCAGGCGACAGTGTGGAGCGTGAAAAGCTGCCTCTTTAATTTTCACTCGTCCCCCTGTTCTTATTCCTCCATTTTCAGCTCACACTGTCAAAACACAGCGTCTGCACTTTGGCAGATGGAGGTGGAGCTGTGGGACAAACACACTCGGCCTGTTATTGTCAGGAGGCTGCGTTTTCTGCCTCTTAGTTCAGAAACGCTCAACAGTTATTTTGTATTTGTGTTTGTCGTCACCTTTACAGCGCAATTTCACGGTGACTTTGTCTGAACTAGATGTGAAATGTGGTCTTAATTTAATGTTAATAAAACAGACGGCAGCACATCAACAGTCTTCTTGCATCACCATCAGCAAGAAAGCAGGAGTTTTCATCATCAGTCCTGTCATCCTTTAAGTCAGGTATTACAGCAGCATGACATGAATGTTTGTCTTCTAATCTGGGATTATAGCCAGAGGCTGCAACAGTGATCAGCAGAGACAGATAGAAGTGATGGATAGAGAACTGGTCGGAGATGGAAGGGGAAGGAGGAAAACCAAAGTGCCTGCATCCTGGTTGATCTGCTCTGAGTCTCACGTGTCTGCCAGTGACTGCATGTATGTGTTCATGTGGCTTATTGGATGGATTTGAGCGTTTACTGTGGCCCGTGTCCGGCTGTGCTGCAATCTGTTTGCCCTCCCAAACGCTTCCTCTCGTTCCGCAGAAGCAGCACATTTGGCCGACGCTCTCTTAATCTGGTGTACTGGTGGCGCTGATGATGACGGCGCGCTGCTCGTTTTCTCCCTTTTTAGTCCCTTTGGCAAATTCAGGAAGAACAATGCTGCTATCTCGTGATCAGAACCGGTCGAACGGAGGTGGTCGGATGTCGGTCACACATCACTTGTTGCCGTAGGCTTTTCCAGGCAGTAGCTGCTGCTGCTGAGTCCACTGATCTCAACGTAAATACAACAGCTAGCATCTGAGCTGATGAAGGCTAAACTGCTCTTAAACAAGCTGTCAAACTGTCTGCCCACCTGAACCGAACAATAAACCAGTGAATCAGAGTTATAATCTGTCCGTTAATCTCTGATCAGAAACAACACAGAATGCAAGTCACAGCTCTGAACTTATCACCACGGCGACACACGGAGATAAATGATGCTCGTCACTCTACACTGTTAATAAATAAATACAGAAATAAATAAATAAATAAATAAAAACAGATGTATATATATTTTTTAATTGATATAAATATCAATAAAACTAGATTAATAGACTGTGAATGTACATGTCTAATGTAAAACACTTAATTCATTAAAATCCAGCTTAAACTTTATTAACATGTTTTCTTGTTTGACACGTTTTGACATTTTATTTTATTTTATTATGTTTTAGAAACTGTTTTTGCACCGATTGTTGTTGCTGCCCAACTTTTAACATGTTCACCACTTTTGCTGTATAAACACATTTCATTTGATTTAATTTGATTTAAAAACCTCTAATTCCCAATAACCTTTAACTTTCCTTTCTTAATTTTTTTTATTTTTGTCTTCAACACAGTGGATCTTCTTGACCTAAAGAAAATGTTAAAACTGGACTTTACGTGTCTGTATTTAAACATCTCCCTCGTTTAATAATGTAGCAGCCAAGAAAAGATGCATAATCTCATGTAAAATTAAGGCTAGATAATGTACTTTAATTATAGAAAACTACATTAAAATATGGATTTCTTTTCAGACATTTTGCCATATTTTTGTTGCTTTAGTTTTGCTCAGCTGTGATCTTTTCCTAAACATCGATTCTGCTCATGACAGAAAACAGCAACTAAAAAAGCAAAAACTAGTTAAAAAAAAATTTAAATGCAAATGAGATAAACTTAATGTGGAAACAGGGCAATAGAAAATAATTTTCCAAAGTTGATGCAGCAATAAAAGCTTGAGCATGTCGCTAACATCGCTAACTGTGGCGGCGCTGCAGCAGGTTTCTGATGACTGAACTAAGGCACAGATTGGGAACTACTCAGTTTCCTTCCTCACCGTTCACTGACTGATCACGGTCAAGGATCATAAACCTGAATGAGGAAGTCGAGGCTCGTCCATGTCGTGGCCACTCCATCATGTGTTCACACAGCAAGGTGCACAGTCGTGCGTCTAAACCAGCTCGTGGGCTTTTTCCTTTTTATTTCATGATTTGTTAATTCATTCAAATTTTATCTCCTAATACGCCCGTCTTTCTTATCTTTCGTGCAAACAATAAAAATGAATTTCAGTGAAACCCACGAGGACCACAGAGCCCACGGTGATGCTGCAGGCTTAGATAATGAAGACACACACACACACACACACACACACACACACACACACACACACACTGTCAGACAGTAGCATACTGTCCGACCGGAGGCAGCCTGCGACGTCTTCACTGTTTGCGATGACGATAAGTCGCCTCTTCCCTCTAGAAAAGATTACTCTGATTGACAAGTGCGACTGCTGTTTACTGCACACACACGCACACACACACACGCACACACACACTGTCATTGTGGTTGTTACAACTGCCACACATGATTGTGTCATGCGGGGATCGCTATAGCAACGACAGCGTGCAGCGTCCCACCTTGACATTAGCGGGACGGCTGCCATGTTTCATCTGACACACGACGGCTCAGAGAAAATAATGACACATCTCCATATACATTTGTTTGCAGAGCTCTATTGTTCCAGCGCGGCGTAATGAAGGAGACGATATGAGATTTATTTTTCATGCTGAGAGAGGAGGCGACCCACAAACTTGAATAATGAAGGGCTGCGTGGTACTTTGTGGCGTCTGGCGTGCACGAATGAGGCCACGGCGGCGAGGCGCATGTTGCTCAGCAGCCTCGGCTTAAATAGGGCGTCTGATGCAAATGATGGTGGAAGTGTGACCGCTGGATGTGTGTCGGGTGATGCTCTGACACCAAAGACGCTGTGGCCACACTTCTAGTGGAGGGGGAGTTAAATTAAGAGAGAAAACACTGATCAGGGTGACATGATGACATCTGGTGAACACGATCAAGTCCAAAGACGAGTCAGCGTCGTGTCCGTCTGTTGTATGTGTGCACATTCTATGTCCTGTCCTTCCTGTTTTATTTTGAAATCACTAACCTGTCTTAGATTCACTTCCCACTCGCCCTGCCCCCGCCTCGTCACACCTGCTCCCTGATTGTTCTCCTCCCTCATTACCTGGTGTACGTCACCCTGTGTGTCTCACAGCCTGGTTGCCAGTTCGTTGTACTTTACGGTCCTCGTCCCAGCGTTTCATAGTCACAGTCTGTTTTGTGAACGACCTCGCCTTGTTTCGTTTCTGGATCCCTCTGCCTGACCGACTGACCTCCTGTGTACTGAACCCTGCCTGGTAATAAACCTGCCTTTCTGCCTGAACCCGTCTGTGTGTTTGTGTCCACCTGTTCTGAGTTTGTGAGTCCTTCACAGTCAGAGCTCAGGAGCATTTGGTTTGTGGGACTGTTCCAGTGAAAACAGAGCTTTAACCAGTCCGTCCCCCTGAAGATGACAGAAAACAAAGAAATCCACTGTTTACCTCCTGTTACAGCGTAAAGAACCGCTGCTGCTGCTGCTGCTGCTGCTGCTGCTGATGCAATTAAAATTAAAATCCAGATTTAACGTGAGCCTTTCCGACGGTGGCTTTCTCTTTGCTCCTCTTCCATAAAGCTCTGACTGAACAGTTTCTACCATCTAGAGCTCCTTCAGACGGAGTCCTCGGCGTCTCGGTGGCCGCCCTGACTTCTCCCTCCAGCGTGGACAGAAGCTGAATTTAGATGATTTATATTTACGTCTGTGTTGCTCAACTTGAATAATTGAAATGAACATTTTAGTCTGACTTTAGTCTGAATTTGAATTGAATGTATTAAATTGAAAACTGAACGTTCCTGCTTTAGAGGGGCGTTCATACTTTTGCTGTCACTTATTTTAGATTTTTTATTTATTAACATTACTTTGTACAAATCTGTAATGTTCACATAAAAGAGCCTCTTTTTTCTTTATTTTTTATTTTTTTGTAAATTCTTGTAGAAAAAAAAAAGACCTTGATTTTTTATTTATTGATTTTTGTTTTTTTTTGTTGAAAAGCAATGAAAGGAAAACTTCCACGGGGGGTAAAGACTGTTTGACCCTATAAATGACAGGAAAAGTAGGAAACCACTGTTCTGGAGCTTCTTCTGTTGTTGTCGTGGTATTTACAGCCAGAACTTATTTAAATCATGAGACAAACGATGTGTAGCTGACGTCTGGTTCCACACATGTCAGAACATCTTAGGAGAGGTTTTATTCTGGTCTTTCAGTGAGTTTTAGGCGACTGTCTGTGTTTTCTGAGGACAGACCAGCTTGTGTTTGGCTCTTATCTAATCGATATAATCAGACTCCACTGACACGTTTACTTTCGCCTGTTACACAAAAAGCTGTGAAGCTCTTTTCTCAGATTTGTTTTTTTTCAGTCTCAAAAACTTGTGATTTCCAGCACATGAACTTGTGTTGTTGTCGTGTTTAAACGGCTAACCTGCTGTTTCTTCTCCTCTCTGCAGGTTAACAGACCTGTCGGGTTCCCTCACAGACGGTCCAGTAAACTACAAGTACAAGACCAAATGCACTTGGTTAATAGAAGGCTTGTAAGTACCAGTATTTTTTATCATCATTAATCCTGCTTACTTCCTCGTTTGTGTCCGACTGATGGGCTCCAGATAAGAGGAGCTTAATTAGGGATAAATGTAAGGAATTTGTCTGTCAGTGACGTCCTTTGTGCTCGTTTATAATCAGAGCTGCACCAACTGGATGCACATATAAGCTATGAAACTACACATAAAGAGCCATATTTACTGTTTTATTCTCCTGTTAATGGCGTCAGTCGCTGTCCTGCAGCGCTGCACCGCTCTGTGCATCCGTCACAAACATGTTCAGGATCTTCAGCTCCGGCTCAGTGACGTTATTTGCAGAATATTTTTAGCCACACTCACGGCATTTCTTTTCTGGCAATCCCCAAGAATCCCGAGTCACATCGAGCTCATTTTGTCTGTATAATAACAACAAATTATAAATTGGGGATGGATGTCCAAGAACTTTGCTTCAGACCTCAAAGGTCTCTTGAGGACAAATAATTGAGGATAATCTGATTTTTTTTTCCACCACCAAAAGGTCAAAATTTTCCCTGGTAGTGCGAAGACTGCATGTCTTTGAGTCACTCATCAGAAATAAAACGCTACGGAGCTGATTGTAGATCTTCATGGTCTCCAGAGGATGGTCCAGTTTTCACCCTGACCTCTAAACCAGATGACGAGGGAACCAGGGTTTTTATTTCAGTCGATGGTTTTAATGTTTGTTTTTTTGAAAGGTTTCCATTAAATCACAAAATACTGAAAGTCTGATATTGATGAAATGTTCTGTGTTGCTTGTATCCTGTGATATTGTGCTGATTTTGATTTACATGAAATATAAACTGCTAAAAATAAAAGTAAAAAATGTTAAAAAATTTACGACACCTGTGGCTTAAAATGCATTTTCTAGCCTTAATTTTAGATGTTTTCTGGCTTCTTAGTGCTTCTAAAAGTACATGTAATAAGAAAAGTAGAATTAAAAGGAAAACTAAACTAAAAATTACATTTTTATTTTATTTTACAGAGTAGATGACTGTTGCTATCGTAGTGTTTGGATCCTCATCCAGTAAATTATCCACATAAGATGTATTTTACTGAACTGAACATGCTCCTCCCTGTGTGGCAGACAAACAGGGATCAGAAAGCTTCACAGCATCTGATAATAATTATAGTCTTTTTAGCAGATGCAGGTTTGTTAAAACTGGGATTATTTCCAGTGTAGTGAAACCAGGATGACCAGTAACAGGAGTGTGTAGGTGAACACACACCGACTGCAGCTTGTCTTGCATTAAGGAAAGGACTCGCTTCATAAGGACGTCAATATTACAAAAAGGTCTTCAGAGTCCCTGAAGTGTCAGTTTATGACCTCATCCACAGACTTTATAAATAGCAGAGACACCTTTGAAAAGCCAGAATGGAGCTGATACATTTCCATCAACAGTATTTTTGTCCTACTATCTGTTCTGTGTTCTCTGCTCTCCGCCTGTCTCGCAGCCCTAATGCAGCACTCAGGCTGCGCTTCAATCACTTTGCCACCGAGTGCAGCTGGGACCACATGTACGTCTACGATGGAGACTCCATTTATGCCCCTTTGATTGCCGTCTTCAGGTGAGCGCCTGCTGTTCTGAATGGGGGAGCCGTGCGAGGCAGGAAATATGGAAATGAGTCAGGTAGCCTTTGGCACTGCTTCAGAAAGTCCAATAAAATTGCACTCGTGCAGCCAAATGAGTGACTGCACGTGAAGCCAAACAATGGAGCTCATAATAAGCACCGTCCCACAATAATAGAAAGAAGAAATTATTCACATTATCCCTGAATGCCATGTCTTGCTCTCTTACTGCTTTTTTTTTTTTTTTATTCCCCCCAAAGGCCAATCTACACACATGTGGGTGGTGCTCTTTCATTTCACACAAATTCATTAAAATCACAATTACTCACCGATGTAAACTCCCACTTTCTACTCTAATCCACTGATTCCTGATTCCTGTTGAGAGCTCAGTTGCTCCCATAAAGGGGCTAATTTGTACCGTTCCATCTGCCATTTAATTATACGGACTTGTGCAGCATTATTACCTACAGTAAGTAAGCTCACCCTGTTCATTATGGACGGGCAGATATGGGCGAAGCTGCAGCTCAGACTTATCGAGGACGAGGGCAGATTGCAGTGAATCGCACGGACTGAATGTGGAAAACATCATTACCCAAAACAACAAAATGCAATATGCCTCCGCAGTGCAGCGTTGTTTCGCTCTACAGCTAATCACTGTCAGACTTTCAGTGAGCTCTGCTGCTGCTGAAATGCAATTCTATTTATTTTAAAGCTCTCTGGTGGTGCTTGGAGATCAGAGTCCATAAAGTACAGCAGCATTTCACAAAGCCTTTTATTATTATGACTTTTCTGTTGTTGAGTCTGTGTCTCATCCACTTTCTGCTGAACTCCCTCTCAGTGGTCTGGTGGTACCGGAGTCCAGAGGGAACGAGACGGTCCCGGAGGTGGTGACGACGTCCGGCTACGCTCTGCTCCACTTCTTCAGCGATGCCGCCTACAACCTGACCGGCTTCAGCATCGCCTACTCGTACGTTCGTGTCTTTTCGTTGCCTCTCATTTGTCTGTCTTTCTGTCCAAGTGCCGGGTCTTTAAATCCTCAAGGATCAATATTTTTTAGACTAACAATGAATCGGGTCAGCGATGTGGAAGGACTCACACAGTCATGAACCCACAGAGTTTTGTAACTCATCATACAGGGCCTACAACAAGTATTTACCCACTGTGGAACTTTTCCCCTTTTAGACTTTACAAAAAGACTCTTTCACGTGAATGTGAAAACAGACTTTTACAAACTAGCTTCATAATCTAATGTAATACGTCAGACCAGTGTTGCTCTGTTGCTGCGTGCCTGTACCATCAGTAGGTACTTCACTGTTTGGTAACCTGTTAGCTGGCGGTAGAGGTGGAGGACTTCCAGTGGCCAAAAATGTACAAATAGCATCCTTAAAGATTTAGTTGAAGGTGACTAAACTGTTGTTCTTGTTTCTTGAGACATTTCACCGTTGCCTAAGAGTGTTCTAAGGTGTGAACGGTTGTGAAACTGCCAGGTGAGCCTTGACAGGGTGTTATTAGTGGTCAAACAGTCTGGTGTGGTCGATCCTCTTCTCTGTTCAGGAATGTCTGCTTCCGTTGATGCCTTCCTTAACTCAAACCGTGCATCTTCTGTGCTAGGACTGTAGACGCTGCTCTTCATGGGAGTGTCCGTCTTGCTGTAGTCTCCATGTATGTAGGTCTGTAGGTGGTTTTATCCTCAAGGTGAACCACTTGTTCTCTCGGTGTTGCTGGATCTGAGGTGCACTGGGATGTCGTGTCAGACGCAGCAGCTACATGCAGGATGACAATGTTGTATGTCTTCTCTTCTTTGTTTAATGCTGTAGCGTCTCTGAAAACCAAAGACAGTCCATCTGTCTGCTGCTGAAGCACTCGGGGTCACGATGACCTGGATGGCTGATACCATGCACCCGCTCACGAGCAGGTTGATCTTGAGTTTGTTTGCAGCCAGTCGTATAAACAAATATGGATGTTTAGAATATTTGTGCTGGAAAATGAGGAAAACACCTTAAAGTCTTTAACGCCACGTTAGCATCAGCTGGCTAACGTGGTGTGGCTGGTTCTGATTGAATGCTTGAGCCGCTGTCCTGTAGAGGGTGGCGCTGGACTGGAGCGGGTCCAGGCTGACACGAGGTGAGGTCCACTCCGGACAGGTCGCCGGTCCATCACAGCGCTAACACAAAGAGACAGACAACCGTGCACGCTCACACTCACAACTGTGATCAATTAGGAATCACTAATTAACCTTCCGTGCGTGAAGCCACCACCTTCTCTCTGCGAGGTGACGGTGCCGACTGCCGCCCCGCCGGGCCGGCCACAGATCGACTGCAGCATTAGCTAATTAATGTGCAGTGTCAGCTACTTACAGCTGCTAAGTGGGCCTTCTCACAGCACACGTTTGCACAATTATAAAAATTAAAAGCGGCGGCGGCGGCCTTGGGTTCAGGTGAGCTGGTTCTGTGGGGATGTGGTCTCATGGATTCAAGCTCACTGCAACACTTAATGAATCCCTTACTGGAGCCATTAATGAGTTGCTTCACCTGTGCTTTGATAAAACGTGAATGATTTCCACACAGAAGCTGAGCAACAGGCTCGTATAGCATCATATTAATATCATCTCACTGAACGTCTGCTTCAAAGCACACAGATGTGGTTTATCCCAAACATAGCAACACGTTTGGAAAGAAAACAGGAAAGTGAAATAAGAAAAGCTGCTGCATGTCTTGCTGATGTTATTCCCGGCGGTCACTCGTAGCATCACAGACGCCTGTGAAGCTGCTGTCAGCAAACCTCCGACTGCAAACAAGGTCAGTCTTTACTCTGTTATTGCTGTTTGCTCTGTGGAGGTTTCGTATTTGTAAAACTCTCTCAGAGCCTCGAAAAATCCGCCTTATTTCTGTAACGTTATGTCAATGTTGGGCCGAGTAATAACACAGACAGTCTGGAGCCTTTTCATGCGATGGAACCTCGATAACAGCGTCAGAAATAATATTATTATTTTTGCTTTGTTATGCTGAACTTATGAGCTGTTGGACAACAACAGAATGTGCTTTTGCTCAGCATCATAAGATAGTTTGAAGGAACTGACCAGGGCGGCAGCATCGTACCCAGAATGATAATCATGACTATTGATCAATACTGAAATCACAATTAGTCCATTTTATCACAATTATTAACTGAGTGCACTTTCACATTTAAAACAAATGTATGGATCAAAACAAGACTTCTCAGGTAACTTTATATGAAATGAAACCTGAAACGCCTCATTTGCTGAACATCTGCTCATCAATGCAACAATTAACGGATGTTCAAGGATTCAAGGCCTTTATTTGTGCAGACAGTCGAGGCACGTTGGAGTTCTCGTGCAGGACTCTCTTGGAGTCGAGTAGAAACACCTGATAGCACTCAAGATACGAGATAAAATACAAAAATAAATCTGAATGCTGCAGCTGAGGTGTGACAAACTAAACAAGAAACTAGTAATGGACTGTTCAAGTTGTCCAGAAGGGTCCCTGAACGCCTCACGTGCAGCTATGGCCGAAGCTGCTCGTCTCCGTCAGCTACTGCAGCAGGCGTCTGCAATAAAGAATTAGTTTGGAGACAGTGAATGATGTAGATTTAATCAACACAAGCTGCTTTCTGTGAGCATCTCAGGTGTTGATATTTCAGTTTATTATGATCATTTACTGTAATGTCCGGATTATAAGCTCCTACTTTTCCACACACTTTGAACGCTGCGGCTTAAACAACAACGAAGTGATTCTGAGGCTGTTCAGCTCCTGAAGACACTGAAGAAGACGACTTTAGTGGTTTTAGTGCAGGAGGAAGATGAAGATAGCCATCAGTGACTTTTCCTGGTAGCTGCTGGAGTTTTATTTCCTTAACCAGCCGTGTTACAGGAAGTGTTCAGAAAAAAGCCTCTACGGTACGTATCTGTGGATGTTACCGCTACGCATTTAATTAAAGGTTAAAACATCTTTCTGTGTAAATATCCCATGTTCCAACGTGGACACCTGCAGCTTAGTGCAGCCTGGATATGGACACACCTGGTTTCCTGTTTAGAGTCAGTGGGTGGAGCTTATATTCAGGTGCCTCTATAGTCCGGAATTTACGGTAATTGTGGGAGGCCAAATCATGATCACAGTCGATCAGATCATTCCCACGAAGGTGTTCCCGGTAGATTTTTGGTAGATTTTTCGCCTTGTTTAGGATCCTGAGGCCTGATAGCGTAACCAAACAGACACACATTCAAACTGAACATCTCGTCTCCAAACCTGCTGCTTTGTGGCCAGGATGGAAAACGTGGACGCATGAGGACACTTAGTGTGGTCACATGGCCTCAAGGCTCTCAGCACACACGCACACACACGCACACACACACACATGCACACACACACACACACACGCCAAGAGGAGATAAAGGTTGTCATGACGACCCTCTTGTCACAGCAGCAAACCGGCGTTTTGTACGAACAGAAAGATGATTTTCCACCTTGACTCCAGCGTCTTTATTTATCCGATATTAAAGAAAAGAGAACAGCCCATAATGTTTTCTTTCTGCTCACCGCTTCGATTTCTACGTGTAATTTGGGTTTAGACTTCTCGTCCCTTTGTGGCTAATGGCCTCTCATTTTGGGTCCCGGTTGTGTCTTCTCCTTTGTGTCCTCCTCGTCGTATCTATAATTTATCTCCTTTAGAATGATATCCATCTTGCTGCGACTCTCTCATGCGCCTCATTGTTTCTCGTTACATCACATTCAGTTTGCTTTGGAGGCTTTTATCCGGAGCCACTTACAATAAGTGCATTCAGAGTTGATTGGAACAAGAGGAAGATGTGTTCAGAAACGACGAGTGCATCCCTCTCAGACGGGGTTTTGCTGCTGCTCTGCCGAAGCGTTTCTGCTTTTGAGGTTCAGATTCTTTATGCAGCAACATCATGGGTCGGTGGGTGCAGTTATTTAGAACTTACACGGGTTCTGAAGGGTGATTTGTCTCTATAAAGTGCATTACTTGTTCTTCTGCGAGCAGAAGCCGACTCTGAGTCTTGTTTATGGGGCTGCAGATAATGTTTATTGTCATCGTCAAGTGTTTTTTCAATTAATCGCTTAATTGTTTGGTCAATAAAACAGAAGAGAAATGGTGAAGAGCGCTGATTAGTGTTTCCAAAAGCCCAAAACAAAGTGTTGTGTTCAGTTTGTCATCAATGAGGAATGAAGAAACCAGAAAATATTCACATTTCGTTGTACTTGTTACAATGACAATAAAACAAATCTTAATCTGAGTGAATCTGAATTTAAGGAGCTGTAGTCAGAGAGTTTATACTTTTCTGTATTTTCAGCTTCAACTTCAGCTCAGTTATTAAATTATTAACGTCATTGTCTATTAACCAGTTAAAGTTGCAGCTGGAGCCATCAAAATGAAAGACGTTTAATTTCTATTCATGAGCTGCTAGGTTTTTGGGTAGAATCAGGTCCTAAAACAATGTTTAGTTTATTAAAATAATAAATATTATACTTGGTGCCGTAAATCACAGCTGATTAATTAATTAAATATGTGACAAAACATCCAGAAGTGTCCAAAGACAGCAAGTTTACCTCCAGAGTCTTTTTCTTGAGTTTTTATCAAAAACTGTTTTGATGAAAATTACGTTTTTAGGGTAAAAAAATTTAATATTTTTTATTTTGATCGCTAAAGCTGCAACTTTAATTGGGCTAATTGCCAACTATTTTAATAATTTATTAATCAAATGGAA